TCAGGATCACATTGAAGGTGCATTGTTATAATGTAGTTTAAATATTAACTGAAAAATAACCTGTAAAATGAGTTTCAGTGAATAATAATGAACTGAACTTGTAGTTTTGTTGCTAAAAAAAGAGCTGTTTTAGTCTAGAAATAATACTTTATAATTCTTACATATTTCAAAGTCGATATGTGTTGTGCAAAATATATATGTAGATATTGACTGTTTTATTAATTTAGACAGTTCTTGAGCTTTCAAAAAGCTTATCAAAACTTGTATCCAAAACAATAATAGCAACACAACGTCTAAAAGTTGTAAATTTACCCTAAAGTAAAACAATACAAAATTACCTAAAATTCGTCCAGTTGTTTCATAATAAACACGTAACTCGTATAAACAATAGATAACTCAAGTTTCAAGTTAGATGGAGTCAGCGGCCCAAGTGTAGGGCAGTTGCCTTTCATTAATAGTATTGTAGCTTTTGTTTCTTATTGCTTTGTCGTGGCTTTCAAATCTTAGCTTTTATAATTTGAAAACGACTATAATGAGCTTTTAGGGCTTTCAAATTGTATTTGATTGGTTGATAAAACTTTATGTTTACTCGTGTAACAGATAAATTTTATAGTAACTAATTAATCAATGTTCAATTTGACGACACGTTTGGGTTAGTTCGTAGTGCCTACTTGCTGTGCCAGCGGTTGCGGGTTCGAGTCCTGCTGGGGGCATTCGCTTGTGTGATGAGCACGAATGTTTCTACTTCAGTCCTGGGTGCTAATATTTAATGTATGTATTTAAACAACAAACATATACATATGTGTAATGTATCAACTATCTGGTGTCCACAGCACAAGCCTCGTAGCTTACCAAGGAATTAGATGGTGATGTGTGTTAATGTCCCAACATATTTATTTATTTAATTTTTTTGTTCTGTGGCTTATTAGCGTTTTACCATCTATACTAGAATCATCAAGACAATTTTTAAAATATTTTTAATTTAGATAATTGCCATACAAAAGCAATAGTGCTTTGTAAATGTACAGAAAATGAAATTGTAATTGTTTCTACACTTTGAAAGTCACTCCAACGATACTCCATGAAAATTTCCCTCCATCCAACAGTTAAATTAAATTAACAAATTGTCAATTCAATACTCGACATCCGAAAAAATCTATTAAGATTTAATAAAATCATGACCTAAATAACGTCTTACCATTTCAATTTTCCGGACCAAAAGGGTGGTACGTCTTTGTTGGGGGACTCCCCCCCACCTATTGTAAGGCACACAAGCTTTCAGAGTAATGAAGAGCATTTTCGTCCGATTCTGAACACAATAGCCGTTTTAATACAAGAGAGAGGAAACTCCTTTGTCGCGCTGTGCATTGTGATGAACGAGTGTGTTACATACGTTGTTTTTTGTCTCGCGTTTTTGTTTGTACGATTGTCGACTACAATGTGATGTAAAACATGGATCTTGATGTGTTGTAATGAAAATGGCACACTTATGCCTGGATCATAGATGGAGCGTTTGTGCTATGCAGCTTTGTCTCTGATAGTGGAATGAAGTTTTTAACTGTGTTTACTTGTTTTTTTGTTATATACTTAGATATTAGTGTAAGTTATTATTATGTTATGTTACAAAGCAAAAATTTAAATACATTTGCTAGATATGCTTACGAGTACTCATCCCTTTTTTATATCCCACAGCTGTTCATGGGCTTCCCTTCAAATTGAGGGGATCAGGCCATAGTGGCTTGGTCACGCCGGCCAAGTGGTTGTTGATAGTTCTCTCAGATATTTAGGTTTTCTTGACCCGAGACTTGAATCCACTTCACTTGGTTTTCCAAGCATACGCGTTTCCACTCACCACTGGGCTATCACTGCCTAAATGCATACATGGTACCATGCGATTACCTATTATTTATTTCATATTAAATTTCCTTTATTTACTTACCGTATAAAATTTCATAGAAAGCAGTAAATACCTATTAACGCGCTGTAAATAAATTTTCTATTATACAGAAACTAAGACAGTAGTCTATACTCTACTGTAACGAGGTAATACGTTAAGTACCTATTACGTGTACCGTTATATTATGTATTTTATTAACTTTAAGTAATATAACTCAATTTGAGAGAGAAATAAAGCTAAAAACAAGGTATTGATTAACTGTAAAGTATGAGATCTGCTAGAAGCAATTAAAGCTTTCACTATCTACTTCCTGACGGTGTCAGATTGAATGAATTTTATTGTATAGCTAGCTATTTGTGAAGTTAACACAGGCGTATTAAAAAAATAAAATATGAACTTTTAAATAAAACTATCGACCGTGACCATGATTGCTGTAAAGCATTCGAAACGTCGGGAACCAAAAACCAAAATAAATCCGCGAAAAAATCCGAAAAGATAGTTTTATTCAAAATTAAAGTATTATAATAAAATATGAATGTTATAGAAATAATTTTATATACTCGTAGATACAAGCAACTGATTGACTTGATTCGTCATACAAACTTTCATCCCCATTTTCACCCCCTTGAACGATGATTTCCGGGATAAAAAGTATCCTTTGTCCTTCCCAGGGCCTCAAACTATCTTCTTACCAAATTTCATTTAAAACGATTCAGTAGATTCAGAGATTACCCCCTACAACATCAGAAGCCCACAAACTTACAAACTTTACCTCTTTATAATATTAATCTCTTTATAATATTGAAAATATACATTATTTATAAGAAAAAAAAATCAAACTAAACTAAATATTTAAAAATATGTAATTTACTAAACTTACTGCCTTTTACTGTTATTGCATAACATTATTCTTTAACTATCATTGTTTAAGAGGCGGGATGTAGGAAATAATTATTGTAGAGTGGCAAAACTCGGCACGTGCGATTTGTAATTGTTAATTAAATTAAAAATAATATTCGTAGCTATGAGCGCTCGCTCGATCGAATGGGTCGAGTAATTTTTTGTCTACGTGGGCGTTAGTTGCTATAATAAAGAGTTTAAAGATGCATGTGGGTAGAAATATATTTACTTTTCTAATAACATTAAATAGTACCAACATGTAGTTTGTGTGTATTTAAATGGGGACTTAAGTGTTTACTATGTAATGTGGATATAACGTGATTTGTAGACCATCAGCTCGATTATGGCGTAAGTTGACGATCGATGGTAAAACTGCATTGATGTTTTTTGTTAAAACCAATTTAAAATTATTTCTTAAATAATGTATGAAAATATATGATACTAGCGACTCACCCTCGTTTCGCTCGGGTTCGTCCCTAAGTACGTTTTAAAGGTTTGTATGAAATAAAAATAAAATAAAATAGCCTTTAATTACTAAAATAATTTGACATTATACACTCATATCATGCAATTTTTTCCAAACATAGGTGACATATTATTTAGTAAATATAACACTCATAAAGCAACAATAATTAGTATCTTATAAATAAAGCTGATATAATAACAGTAGACCTAATTTAGAATATATTACTATTATATATTTATTACTAGAATATATATTCTAGTATGAACTACAAATCTTTAAATTTCTCGGCTTTTCTTGTATGCATATATTATACATACAAATTTTCCTCTTGAATTACTCTATCTATTGCTGAAAACTGCATTAAAATCCGATGAGTAGTTTAAAAGATCTAAGCGAACAGACGGCGGAAGCGACTTCATTTTATAATATGTAAATATATGATAATTTACATTATCTACGTCTTCACTTCCGACTGTCAAAAATATGGCTTTAATAGGGATTTTTATAAAATAAAAAAAAATATATCGAAGAATTTGCCTTGCCTTGGAATACAACCAAGATGTGTCATTTTAAAATATCTTTTCCGATTTTAAAGGAAATTACAATTCGTATCAGTATCGCCACGACAGAACCTATAATAAGTAGACGATCTTATCTAACAAAAGCAACAGTACCCTCCCTATGACATAATGAAAACGGGAAAAACTTGTGTAGCGGAATGAAAAGCGCAAATTCGTCATTAGGCGGCGTTTATATTGTGCCTTCATCCATCGTTACTGAAAATTCGGTACGCGAGAACGGGACGAAAGTTGGTCCTGGATTGTTCCTTTCAATGTTGGCAACATTGTTTTCTCTTTTGTACGCCGCTGAATCAGAATTGTCTGGCCCCTTTAAATGGACGGTGGCGCCCCTCCACGGTATGAATACTGCCTTCTATAAAGAGGTAGACAAAGGGTTGGTCTCTTGAATCGACTGGGAGACAGGTCGTTCGTTTCGATTATATTGTATCGATCAATGTTATTGTCTTCCCAATGAGAGATGGTTAGAGCAAATTACTTTTCTGTATTTTGTTTCACTATTAATAGTTATGAATTATGGTTGCAAAAGTAAGATTAACTGTAGTTTTAGAAAATATGTATGTGTACAGTGACTTTATTATTAGTTATAAGATCCGATTTAACATGTATATAGAAAGAATATTGGTCTTGATGCAAGAACTTAAAGAACACTGACTTCGAATAGCCTAAAATTCACAGCATCATTACTTCCTAATTTATCTAAGAAACTAATAATTATAATGAATTGAACTAATCAATAAATGAAAACCTTATCTGTCTGTACAATTCTTATGTACATAAATTCCCGATATGCGTGTTTCCATATCCTCGTTGGTCGGTTTTCATGAAATTATATATGTATATAAGGTCATCCCACCTACATGATTAGACCTAATAGGTAGCGCTGTTGTTGATATATATTTTTTTTAATTTTCCAACCAAACGAAATCAGCGGCAGGACAATGTCTGTCTACACTTTACAAATATTAAAAACAAAACTATGTTTTTAGTCTCTTTTTTCAGCAAGGACGGCAGCCATTTTATGCATAGACATAATTACTATATAGTATATACATATGTCACTAGTTGATACCTAATACGTATGACTTACGCGTAAATGGGTAGTTTTTGTTTTTAAATTCTAATTTTAGTTTAGTTTTAAACTAAAATCATGTTATAGGTGCCGAATGGAAGCTTCTAACAGAAGATGAGAAGAGGCCGTTCATCGATGAAGCCAAACGGCTACGGGCTATGCATATGAAGGAGCACCCCGACTACAAATATCGGCCGAGACGGAAACCCAAGACGTTAAGAAAGGAAGGCTACCCTTACTCCATACCATATCCCAGTGTACCCATGGACGCTTTGAGGGCTGGTAAGTCATTTTTACGTTATTTTTGACCGACTTCAAATATGAATCGTAATAAACTAAGGTGTTTTTTTTGTATATGTTTAAATAATTTGTTAGATTTCCTATGGAAAAATTAAGTTTATACATAGTTTATCCTATATTAACCATCAAAAACGACACTCCCGTACAAACTTTTATTCGCTATTAAAGGAATTTCCAAAAATTCTTTCTTACGGCTTTACTATATCTAACTCATATTCATATTTGTAGAACTCTTGTGCGTCATTTTATTGCCAGTTGCTGAGTCTCACTGAGTGCAGTCTTAGAGTTTTATTAAGTAAATTATAATAATTAGTATAGGCGAGGTTTAAACGTGGGACATACCTATACCAAAAATAATGATATCAAATTTTCGAATATTTTATTTCTATTATTAGTATTATATTCGTATTGTATTTACTTTTGGAAAATGAAGAAAATGTAATTAGTTTTAGTTAATTTTGAAGTTAACATACTTTTTAATATCTTACATATATAAAAAATTATATTATAAAGATCTTTTTGTTCATAGGAAAATGATAATAAATAATGCTTGGCATTATTGAACCAATTTCTATAAAATTATAAGAACTCATAGAATCAAATAAATTTTCTACTGACTATCGTACCTATGAAAGCTTTTAGAACTAACTCTTTTCATAGCGAAATAGAAAGTGAGCGGAACTACGGGAAGGAAGTAGTTAAAAACAAAATTTTAATAGGTACGAATAGATATACCTTTCGTTTCGTTCATGTAATCTATACATATAATAAATTTCTGAGTCGAATCTGTACATTAAATATTTTTTTGAAAATCTTATTGAAATAGTCATTATAATCGATACAAAGGCCGCATCTATAGTTTTTAGAACTTTTATCTGCCTGTCTGTCTAGGAATGCATAAAGGGAAAACCACTGGACAGATTTTGATGAAATTTGGTGTGATGATACCTGGTTATCCGGGTCAACATATTGGATACTTTTTACTGCGGAAAAATATCTCATCTCTGAGAAATCTATACTAAGTGTTAAAACGAACCCGAGCGGAGCAAGAGTGAGTCGCTAGTCGACAAGATGTTAAAAGCATGTGAACAAGACCATTTTATTTAAACGTAGTAGTTTCCATACAATGTCAGTTAATGCAATAAAAAATGCTCGCGATAGCCTGTCATTAGATATCGTAAATTGTGATGGTTTCACACGATTGCTTCAATTAAAAAGGGTTTTTTTGTTCCTTTCACGCACGCATATAATATGAGTATCAATTGGTTTTTGTGACAATTTTATTTTTTTTTTAAATATAAATTTAGCTTTAAAAACATCTTTACATACATACTTTCTCTAGCGGAGTAAACAGAATAATTGTGCATAATAAGGTACCTCTTGGTCTATCAGCGTAAATTTTTTTTTTATTTATTCTAATTCCCCAAACAACTAATACTAAACGTAAAAGAAAATATCTACGTATTTTGCTTACGTCTTAGAATGTACCCACAAATTTTCCATCAAATCCGACAAACTCATAAAAAAACCTTGGTTAGTTTTATTTTTTACTATTATTTCAGAATACTCTATAGAATGATGTAAAAAATAATTTATTGTAGTTTTCCTGTTACGGATATCGTAGCACAAAAACCGCTGTAAATCTTACAACTAAGTTACCGGTGGGTAATAAATTATTGTCTTTCTAACCCCGCTCTTCACATTCCAGGATTAAATTATGTATTATAATAAAAATTTGCATTTCCTTAAGCGCAAAAATTTTGGTAAATATTTTTTTTCGTATATTTTTTATAGTAAAAACGTGTGATATATATTTTTAACTAGCAACTCAACTCGCTCCGCTTGGGTTGTCCCTATTTAGGTATGTTTTAACATTAAGTATAGATTTCTTAGAGATGAGATATTTTCCAGCAGTAAAAATTAATCTATATGTTGACCCGGATAACCAGCTATCATCGTACCAAATTTCATCAAAATCCCTCCAGTAAGTTTTCCGTGATGCGATCACGAACAGACAGACAGACATTTTATAAAAACTATAGATTCGGGCTTTGTATCGATAATAATGTATATTTCAATAAGAAAAATATTTAACATAAAGATTCGGCTTAGTTACAATTTTATTATTATATGTATACCTAAATATAATTGTACAATGTTGTATTTTTTTTATACCTACTTTATTAAAAAAATTTTTCATTATAGAAAAAGGCCTATTGAGGGTGTACCTATAAAAATATTAAAAATAATATCCATTATGAGCGTAATCTTATAATATTAAATGAGCAATTCTTATATATATATATATATATATATATATATATATATATATGTGTGTGTAAAAGTAAATTTATTTCGTGTATCTCGGAAACGGTTCTAACGATTTGTATCAAATTTTATATTTAGATAAGGTTTACGTTTATAGTTGTTGGTGTGTTTTGACCGCCGAAAAACACTAACAGTAGCTCGGTCGCCCTGGTACTAAAGTAGAAACCAGTAAAATAGTAGGTACCTACCTATATACTACTTCATATTATTAATCTGTACATATAATAAAAATGTAACTGATTGCTGTCTGTAAATGAAAGATTTTTAAGAAAAACCTTTTTAGGGGTCTTTTTTAAAGCAATAGAACTCAAAACATTGAATTTTTATAAATTTGTCTATTTGTCTGTGCGTTTGTCCGCGCTTATCTCAGAAATGGCTAAACCTAATTGGGTGCCGTTTTCACTAATGTATTGTGGTAAGCTTCACTTAACATTAAGTATTTGATTTATTTCAATCAGTTTATAAATAAAAAAGTTGTCAATTTAAAAAATCACCTAAGGACAAACCCGAGCGAAGCCAGGGTAAATCGCTAGTCTATAATATAATGTTCTTGATAATATTATAATACTTGGTAACTAGCTATCATCATGTCAAATTTCATTAAAATATTAGAGTAAGCCTATGTGTTATTCCATACTATAATCTATCTCTGTGCCAAATCTCATCCAGATCCGTTCAGTCGTTCTGGCGTGTAACAAACATACATTCATCCATACATACATTTTTACAAACTTTTGCGTTTATAATATTAGTAGGATTTTAATAAGACCATAGTACAAAGTTGCGTTCACAATCAATAGATGCGACGAACTCCATTATTACATTGTCATCGATTCAACCATAACGGTAGATCTATTACATAACTGCGGTGCTTCGTTTGAACTCGCTTAATTTAAACATTAAATAATTTTTTTTATATAATATGTAATATTTTGCATACATTTATAGTAATAATTTCTTGAAGCTATGTTGGATTTGATATTAAAAGCTCATATAATATACTAGTGACTTACCCATTCTTCGCTAGGGTGCCTCTATAGGTACGTTTTATATAGATAAAAGTAGTTATTGTGATATTAGGAAATAGACCCATGTTTTTTTTTCTGTAGACCTTTTTAAGACCTACAATTTTCTAGTCATTTTTTAATTGTATCTAAAGGTTTAGCCAGCTTTAGCCATATGTAATAGTACAAAAATAGTTTTTTGACAAAATACCGTCTAGGCTTAGATATTTTTTGTAAAATATTTACATATTATGTACACAAACCTTCCTCGCTTATCGCTGTTTTTATTAGTGAAAACCATATCAAAATCCGTTGCGTAGTTTAGAAGAAGTAAGCGGAGAAACAGACAGACGCAGACAGCAACTTTGTTTTATACTACAGAATGTGTATCGATAGGTAATGGCTGCTTAGTTACAAATTATACACCTGCCTAAATTATAGGTCATAGATAGATATGAAAGTCCTTTGTAACAAAGTAATGTTTAAAATACACAAGTTACGTTACGTTACATATTATGTATAGTGATATCGGAATTTTTTTGCATTATACTAACCACCTAATAACAAATATTGCAAGTTTAAAAAATTATTCAAGAAATTTGCGTTTTAAAGTTTAGTTTAGATTTCTCAGAGATGAGTTTTTCCCTGAAGTAAAAAGTATCCTATATGTTGACCCGGGTAACTAGCTATCATCATGTCAAATTTCATTAAAATCTGTGCAGTGGTATTTTCGTGATTCTCGTTCTTGCCAGCGTGGACTATGGCCTAATTCCCCTGTTCAGATGACCAAAAAAATAAATTCCTAGGTTTTACATATTAGTATACTCGTACATTGCAGTTTTTGTATTTTTTCTCAGAAATGAGATATTTTCTTGCAGTAAAAAGTATCCTATATGTTGACCCGGATAACCAGGTATTCCCCCCCAACGTGCGTTCACCTTGTCGTGGTGGGGGGGCTCAGTAGTGCCCGGCAACCTAACCGGGCGCGAAGCCAAGAAACGCACAGGGAGGTGGCCCACTTCGGTGGGCGGTGGGAGGTGGCCCTCTTCGGAGGGCAGTGTACCATGCGGGTTGCTCCTGGTACTTCTCTGATAGCAGAGTGGACTGTGGAGCAACCCCGTGGTTGTTGTGGTCTGCTTCGGCAGACCTGCCGTCGGGGCGTCGTAGTTGAATGCGTAAGCGATCCTGCGACGCCCCATTAAGACGGGGGAAGGTTTTGTTGGGTTTTAGTGGGTAGTACTGGCTTTGCCGGTGAGTCCCACACTTCGTGCGTAAATGCATTTCCCAACGTTAAAAGGATAACTAGGTATTATCATACCAAATTTCGTCAAAATCTGTCCAGTGGTTTTCTCGTGATGCGTTCCCATACAGACAGACAGACAAAAATCTAAAAACTTTAGATTCGGCCTTTGTCGGTAATATAATGACTATTTCAATAAGATTTTGACTCAGTCACAATTTTATTATACGTATAGATAGAAAAAACATAAATTTTAATAAAAATTGTACTAACTTGAAGTAAAGACGGCATCGCGGTCACTCGCCTCGCGACAAAAACACCCACGGTCACGATTTTTTATCGTGACTCTTTAAACTAAGAAACGTAGACAAGTTAGAAAAAAATCTTTTACAATAAACGTTATTATTGTT